ACAGCGCACGTCATGCTGTAGGACTCGTCATCGGTGATCCCCGTCAGCAGCGCCTCCATCAGCAGATAGACCAATCCGGTGAGCAGAGAGAAGACGGAGAGCAGGTAAACGAACCAGGCTCCCCCCAGCCGCCGCTCCAGCTTGACGCCTTTCCACAGAAAGGACACCATGTTGAAATACAGGTGCCAGTCGTCTACGTGGTGTAACGGGGACAGAAAGAGGCGGCGCCAGTCTCGAACCCGGCAAACCTCGTGGACGCTCACACACGCCTGAGAGTTGGACAAATAAAAAGCAGCATCATTAGCTTTAGAGCCACGCTAAGAAAAAATAATAATAAAAGCCAAAAAAGTATGAGAATAAAGTCGAATAAACTCTTAATATTATGAGAATAAAGTCAAACGAGACTCGTTTTTTGCAGCTCAAGTTTTTTTTCCCCGCACGAGTCAGATCCACGACGCAACCTGTCAATCAATCCAGTAGACGTGTCAGCACATGACCAATCCGAAGCTAAATGAGTCGTAATATTATCTGAACTCAGACACGATGAAGCAGGTTTACCACATTTTAACTGTGGTAAAATGAAGAATGTTGGGCATCTTAAAAAGTTATACTTTGGTATTGGTTTTACAGATAAGGAGCTAGTTAATCTGTGAGCACATCAGCATCAGATTATCATCAGTATCAGGACTATGAGCCTGCTTACAGTACGATGGTAGGCTCTGATGGGCTGCAGCCGCTCTGCAGGTAAGGAGCATTTAGCTTCGGACTGGTCATTTGCTGACACGCCAGTGGATTGATTGACAGGTCACGTTGCGGATCCAACTCGTGGGAAAATAAATAAATAAATGAACGAGAGCTGTAAAAAACTAAAAAGTCTTGTACGACTTTATTCAGCATTCACACTATGTTCATGGAAAATGTGATTTCTATGGATCGTTTTGTTTTTAAATAGTTTTAAAAACTGCTGCGCAGCAGGAGCGCGTCACCTTCAACAGGGGAGCAGCCGGGAACAGGAAGAGGAACACGTTCAGACCCAGGACAGCCAGAGTGACCGGAGGGATGTTGTCCAGGCCCAACTGAAGCACCTGCGAGGCCAGGAGCAGCAAGCCCAGGTGGGATCTGTGTCTTTGCATCTTGAAAAGTCTGGGAGGAGACGACGCCAAGATTAAAATCACAGATCTGAGTAGAAACACTTGTTTAAAACTGAGATTTTCAGACGTCGGCGGTGGCAGATTAAAAACAATCGACATAACTAAAAACACATTAGTGACCGCCCAAATAAAAGCTGAAGCCAGGTGAACACGTTTACATCCCAGAAAACTGCAGGACGGTGACACATGAACCCCACTTTGGGGAAATAAGAGATTTGGTTAACATTTATAAGTTTGGAGTGAATACTTCAAAAACAATGTCTGATGCACACAACCCTGTTCCAACCAGCATCAATGTTTCAGAGGAACTGGAAAAGGTCGGAGCTCTTGTTCTTGTGCAAGACGTCTGAAAAGCTGCAGAAAAGACGAGTTGGAAGAGACGAGGCGAAGGAGGGGGGAACCCCAGGAGGCGAGCCAGCCAGCGCAGGTGAGAAAGTCTGCTTGGAAAACTAACAACTAACCAAGAGAGAATGTGCACAGAGAAACAAATCAGTTTGATCCACCGGGTGCTGCTTGCATCACGTCACAACACGTTGGAGATAAAAAAAAGACTCGTCAGTGTGAGAGCTGGGGTTGCTCAACAACATCCCAGTCTGGATCCAAGTCCAAACTGGTTGAAGCTCCGCATCGTAAAATAAGTGTTGTGTGAACAATTCACCAACGCCGAAGCCAACGGGAAATACCTGGAGCTGACAAAAAAAAGATCAAACTATTTGCTTTAATATCAGGCTATTAAAAAGAAAATAGTAAAATAACGTGTAAAATATTAGAATAGTAAAATGTCACAAACTGCTTTGACTGAAAAGTGTTTCTCTGCTAAAGGATCTAAATCTGTAAACCAAAACCTTCAACCCAAGAATTGGCCTTTTTTAATCTACAGTACATCATGGTTTAATAATCACATTAAAGATTTACTTTCCTTTATTCATGTTTTAATTTAATCACCAGCAACAATCATCTGGCATGCAGACCTTCCACACCCTGCCAACTGCTTAAACACTTTAAAAAGAGAGATTGTGTTGCTCTTATCTAGCAACATTTCCTAAGATTAAGATTATCAATCCAACACTGGATAATATTATTCTCTTTCCTTTGCCAGAACAGTAAAGCACGGCAGCTGGCATTTTAAATTGTTTTATTTAGGACATCCGTGCGTTTATATGACGCGTTTCTCTGAAGATGAGGTAAAAATGCACTTTTAATTTAAGGAAGCTGTTTAGTGAGTTCCCAGTTAAACAAATTAGCAACTTTAAAAGTCTACATCAAATTAAACTAAACCACTGTATCTAATAAAGAAGCTGGTCCAGATGAAATGATTGAACCTTCGTTTTTTATCTAATGACAGGGTTGTTCGTGTTTCTTCTTCTTCTTGATGAGTTTAATGGCGGTTGGCAAAAAAAAACATCTGTAGGTGTGCATTGCCGCCACCACTGGAGTCTGGTTCATCATGGTACAATTCTGTGTATGAATGAATAAACTATATGTATTTCAAATTCTATTAATCAACCTTGTTTCTTAAAATATCTCATTCTAATTTGTATAGGTTTGCTCTCTCTGCGCTGTAGTGCATCTATTTTGTTAAAAACAATAACGGGCTTAAAATGCTTCCTTGTGGTGTCCCATTTTCTACTGTAAATTGTCTTGATAATAGCCTATATGCCACGGGTAGTGGTGACACACGCCCGTTTAAATTTAGGACACGTGGATCACTTCCGGTTGCCTCTTGCTCTTGTTCGTTTTTAGCGGTAGCTGCAAGAGTTGTACCACGAAGAAGACACAGAAGGTAAAAATATCTCTGCGCTACAGGAGCAACAACTGAGTTCTGTTGTGTGCCGTTGTGTCCAATGAACAGCAGGTACAATAGAGTGCTTAGTTTACCGCAGGGAAGACTTAGCCACTACAGCTAAAACTCGGGTTTGTAGCCGGCATTTCAAATCTCAGGATAATCAAGAGCCAGCGTCAGAAACGAGAAGACGGCGGTTAAAAAAGGGAGCTGTACCTGCACTGTTGGAGTGGAATACGTTCTCCTTTCCACTTGCACGACCGGGGGTTTGGGAGAGAAGCAAAAGAGGACAGCGAGGAGGAGACACCAGCCGCAAACCTCAGTAAGAAACAGGATTGTGCCTCGGCTCCAGACCCTGCAGTTGTGGATTTGGTGTTGGAGTAATGATGAGTGACTTGCTACAAGTTTGCAACTACATACTTTCAAAAGAATATTCAGATTTTAAGATGCGTTTTCTAATCTGCAAAGATTTTTGTATACTCTTACTCAGTAACTTCAGTGCTGTTACACCTCTGAAATATTCTCTGAAGTTTCCTTTAATGGGACACAGAACTGTTTCACTTAAACATTTAATTTCCTGAGATATAATACCTTTATTTTAAAGCACAACTCTCATAAAGGGTTCTCGGTCTTATTTTGTATTTTTTATTATGTTGCGTAGGTAAATATGAACATTTATTCTTTTGTTTTTTTTAATGTTTTCAGGTTTACATCATATGACGTCCTGATGCGTTTCTGGTCCATGATTGAGCTGCTCTGCCATCCATGGTCAGTATTCACCAAGGACTGAGAGGAACTCCCATCAAGTTCAAGTTGTGTTTATATGTCATATATATATATATATATATATATATATATATATATATATATATATA